GTGAGAATTAGAAAAGCAACACCATGCTCAATAGTAATTTTGAAACAGTTAAACAGAGGACATACCAATTTTCCAGTCACACTAGACGATTTGCGGAGGGCCTTCTACAGGAAAAATGCAAAGGGCAGAGTACAAGCAAGAAGAGTACAACTGGAATGTGAAATCCACTCTTGTAACTACGTTAAGAATTACAACTCTATCCTAACTAAAATTACTGAAATCACATGGGGGGAATCATTATTTAGCAAAACCTTTAAGATATTAAATAGTCTATGCTCTTCAAAAAATGCCACAATTTTTAAAAATATCTCAAAAATTTAAAGAAGTTATGAAACCTGACTAACATTTGTTAATTTTTGATTTCACTGCAGATAGGCTGCAAGACCTCCTTGGACAAAACCTGTTCTTCTGAAGCTGAAGTTGTTTTTAAAGCAACCTCAAGCATTCAGACCAGATACATCTGCAACAGAGTGAGCAGCAACACTAACACTCATTTTTCTTCACAAAGCGTAGAATTTTTTACTAGTCACTGTGTGAAAGAAGGAACTTCAGATAACCATACACCTAAGCAAATTTTTAATACGCAACAGAATTCCACAAGGTTTCAAAAAAGTGCTGTGACTTTCAGTATTGTTGCAACAGACAAGAAACATTGTCAAGTTTAGCATATTTGAGAGACTGACAAAAAGGTTTTCCCTGAAACTAACAAACTGAAAAATCTGCAGCTTTGATTTCTCATTCTTCTATTTTACTTTACTAACTTGAATCTCTATTTCTTCATAAGGCTCTACACTAGTATTTGTTGTGGTGCAGCTCACGTATGCAGCAGTATTAACATCTTAACCTCCTCCAAATAAACTGTATTCTATAATTTAGGCTACATGTTTTTCTGGCTATAAATGTCACTCACTAGTTAAAACCTCAGCATTTTCAGCACTTCGATAGATGCATCTCCCCAGAAGAGGAAACATTAGTCACTGGTATTTACATGCCACTAGTTCAGAGACCACACAAAGTCACATTACCAAAACCAAATACAGCACAACGGCAATGCAGGGGACGAGGGGAAGGGGGCAGTGCAGCTGAAGGACTACCTGAGCAGCCTCGAAGGAAACACGTTCCGTTAAGAGAAAAGGTACCCAAACATCTCAAAACATGTTCCCTCCCCCTAAGACTCTTGAAAACACAATGATAACAAAAAGATAAGTATTAATATAGAGCCCATCTACCAAAAGAGATTAAAAAACCTAAATTAAAATAAATTTAGGGGCCTTCACCAAACTTGCTGCAAGTTTGGGGACATAAATATCCAACAGCCATAAAGCTGTGAAAGCCCCCAGAATGAATAAAATAAATCCCACTTGCCTCAGACTGAACAGGGCAACACTGAGACTCTGCCTCAGCCTGTCCTATGGCAGGGCTATAGGAAGAAGAAAAATTTAAATTTTAGAAAAAACATGACCCAATTAATTGAAAGACATGCATTCAAAGTTAACAAAATTCCAGTGATCAAGCAAACAAAAGAAAGTGACTGCTACAGCACCTATTTTGTCAGGCCCAAAGAAAACTTTTTACAGTTGGTAGCTATTTCTGAATTGGACAGTTTGTTTTGCTTTGTATCTTGATCAATGGAACATAAATCAGTTGTCTCGGGGCGTTTTTCCCATAACTGATAGTATTTACTGTACTAGTTCACAAAAAGTAGAGTTAAAGACCCCATCAGCCACTGAAAATGTTCACCCTCACCTCGGTATTTATGTAGAGGCTAGACCAGTACAATTATTAAGACATTTACTATTATTTTTAGGTATCATTAGTTACCATTTCAAATTGCAGCCCCAGCTCACAGACTGGTACATCAGAGTCTCAATTTAACTGAAGAGTCATAATGCCCTTCTTGCTGTTTATAAAACTGAAGTAATCTTGGTATTTTATTTTTTATCTTGTATGCAGAATTGATTCCTATAAAGTAACTGCAGGTTATATATTCCATTTAATTTTATTCAAGTTTTAAGAAATTAAGTTACACAGTTGTATGTAAGTACTGTTTGAGAGCTTCATACACTAAAATAACTGCAGAAACCATAGAAGGCAGATGCAGCTGAAAGTGTTTCTAGAAGCTTGTTTATGTTCTTCCATGCATGCACAGAGTGAGGAATAGTTATCCACTGAAATTATAATCCCAGCCTCAAATTTATTATCAGAACTTAAAAATCTCATCTGTGGGAAAAAAAAATTCCAGAAGAATTTTTTAGTACATATAAGCCAGCTACATTTTCAAGATTTTATGTAAAGCAACTTTTGACAAAGACAGAAAGATATTCTAAAGGCAGTATGAAACGGTCATATCAAGACTCCTGAAAAATAAGCCTGGGTTTTTCCAAGGTTCTTTCATGCCCGTCTCACCCTCTAAAAATCAACAGGTGAGATCAGCCTCTCACAATGATACTGAGAGACCATGCATAAAATATTTTAGAACCTTTTAAACAAGTCCTAGATGCCTTAAATTCTAAGCATTTTGCTAAAGATATTTCCCTACCTGTGACTGAACATTTTCTTGCAGTCTGTTCTTTTGTATTTAACATTTGCACTACATTCCAAATTAAAGATTGATCAAAATCCACTTGCAAGTTTTAGGTTTACTATAAGATCTGCCATGGCAAACTTAACAACTGAAAAACAAAGCTTCTGCTTATGTAATTCTATCACTAGAGTCCTGCAACAGATGTGAGAGAGATGCTTTTCTGTAGTCATAAAAGCTTCTGCAATCTCTTTGCAGGGAGAGATTAACTAAAACAAAAAACTGGCTGCACAGCTACGTTACATTAGGGATTTTGCTGGCACAACTATGTTGATTAAACTTCGTACTGTAAACCAAGCCTTAGTCTTTATACGAGTGACTACTACATTCAAAGTAGTTTTCCTGTTTTTGGGAAAATGCACCATAAATCCAACTCTCTGAACATTAAGAAGCAGTATCCAAAGAAACGAAGGCAGGGACCAACAGACAAATATGTACTGAAATACCTGCCTCTTTACAGAAGAGTACACACAAGAGACACGAGAGTAACTCAAGATGCCACATTATAGCTTTGATAGCACAGGAATGACAGGAGCAGGAAAGGAAGTATCCAGATGAAAAACCATGGAAAAACTGCTCACCTGCTTGCTGAAGATTATTAGAGTATCATATGAATAATATGTGGCAGTACTTAGTTAAGGGATTATCATAACATTACTACTAAGGAAAGTTCAATCTTAAAATGCATCCAAGCTAGAAGTCAACGTAGTATTAACTACAAAATGGTACTATTATCAGGACAATGATACATTCACTATTTAAAAGAGGGAAACTCTTAATTAATACAACTTGCAGAATATGCTGAGTTAACAGTACATGCAGTAAGGTTTTCAAGTATCTATCCCAGGAAAAGTAAAGGTCTGAAAACAACACACCACCGAGTTACAGAAAGACACCAAGGGAGGGGCTATCTGCTTTACTAGGGGCAGGAGGGCAAAGCACCCTTGCAGCAGAAATGTGATCTTCAGACAAAGCAAGATGTTCTATGGTTTTAAAAGCACAAGTTAAAATTAATACATTTTAAATTGATCTTATGTGTAGTATTAAAAAAGGACAAATGTAAGACACTAAAAATCTCTCCTGTGTTGCATAATTATCCCTACTAGATAAAGGAAAACAGAAGAAAACCAGAGTATAAGAGCATTGCCTAAGCAAAACAGTTTTATCTGTCAGATTTACGTATAAAGCAAGATGGAAGAGCTAACAAAAGATCTGACATCAAGGCTCACTCAGCACATTTGCAAGCCAGATACTGCACATCTGACAGGTGATCAGTAGATACCAGTGATCAGAGAGAACTGCTTCTCAACAGAGGCTTGGAGTTATGGTCTCAAAACTGCTCCACACTTCAGAAGTGGTGCCTGGTAATTCTTAATGGTTAAACTAAGGCCATTCAGCTACAATTAGAGCGTATGGGATGCTCCAGGGCTTTTATGAGCCATTCCATGACCCCAAATTTAAAGCTGAGAGACAATGTAGTGTTTTAGCTGTACTGTATTTCTGGGCTACTAAGAGACAGTACAAAATAAAGGCACATGAAGTACTTAAGTGCAGCTAAAAAACCTCAAGACTTTCAAGACAAAGAGCAAAAATGCTCAGTATTATAATTAAGTCAAAAAAATCCACCACTAACAAAAACACCTATGGAACATAAACTGAAACAAAAACGCTGATAATCTTTCTAACCTACCCCAGAAGAGGAGATATCCCTATAAATTAAATTGCACAGATAAAGCTTGAGGCTGGAACATGTATTTAAAGTTGACCTGCAAATGAAAAATTCATCACTCCTTTTTTCCTCTGTTGCAAAGAGACGAGGGAAACTCTCACTTCCCTTCTCTCCAAAAAGTCTCCCACTACATCTTCATTCTCATCAGAAATATAGTACACTAACACAGTGATGTTAGACAACGGGAGAATTAAAATCTTGACAGTAATTTATCACTCTACTCTTATAAACAGATAAATGACTAATTCATATGGGGATAACTGATTTTCATCTTTCTTTGGTAATTAGGAGAACTGATAAAAAGGTCTCATACTCTAAACACTTTCATTAAATGGCCCAAGAAACTCGGCCAGCATCTGATCACAGCACACAACAGATGGTTCCTCTTCTAGACTCTAGAAACTCCCAACATTTAAAGTAAAAATACAGCATATAACACATTGCTCTTGTCTCTTTTATGCACTGAGAAGGTCAAGCTACTTTTTCTCTTTTGCAGGTCAACTTCAATACAACATCAACTGGAAGTCACTCACCCATGTGACATGCACCTAAGCTTCTAGAAATCTTCATCTAAAAGGCTCCTGAAATTCATATGCATTCGCACATTAAAGAGTCAGTCGAAGAATGAACTAACAGGACACATCTGGCAGTAGGGTGCATCTTAGAGCAACCACTTTACACCCTACAAGCGCCAGGACTAGAAATCATTTAAAAATTTATTGAGGACAAGAAAGCACAAATAAAGAAACATATGCATTAAGAGAAGTTACAACCAAGAGTTAATATGTGCCTCCTGCAGCCTCATTTTTGAGGAGTCAGTTAATAAGTGTACAGGTCTTTGTCTACTCAGACGTGCAGCTAAGGAGTGACTCAATTTTAGAACAAGGAATTCGGACTTTATCAAAACAGCACCAAAAATCGTGTTCATGACACCAATAGCTACCATGGCATGCATCTGTACAAACCTTTCAGGCAGTTGTCCACAGCTGGTCATGAATGAAAAGGCATATAAATTTTTCTCTTCTTTTATTACAATGAAGTTTATAACAGTACAGAAAAGTCACACGACCTTAGTGGGTCAGTTTACTTAAACCCTGCAACAGGAGGAACTCTAAATACATTAAATATTGTTACAAGTTCAGACTTAAATGTACAAGTAGTTGGGAACAGTTACAGCCCTCACCAAACTATGTTGGGGACACGAAGTCCAACAGCACGTGAAGTGCTGTGAAGGCATCATTTCACAAATAGCAACATAATGTCACAGAACTTGCCTTTAAGGTGGTATGTTCATGTAATTCCAGCGCCTTCACAATTTAACGAACCATATTTACTATACTTCACTTCTAAAAACCTAGATGAAACATGAAAAAGAAGCCATACAGTATAAATTGCAACATCAGGAAAAGTTCCTGTTATTATTCCAAATATTTTTTCCCCTGTAAAATAAGAATGTCCAATAGCTCCTTGCATGTGGGAAGATACTTATTTTTTTAAAGTCACAATGAAGCCTTAATTGACGGAAGCTCGGCTATATTAACAGCACAAGATGAGAAAAGGTTTAATCTCCAAACCTATTAGAGCGTGTGTAGTAGCATCAGTAGCGGCCACCTTGCGACATTACAGGAGGTCTCATTCCCATTGGAGGTCGAGGAGGTCCACTTTGGTAAGGGGGCACCATCGGAGGTCCCTGACCGTATGGAGGCATTGCTCCAGGAAGATATCCTGGCATGCCCTGGTGATGAGCACCATACTGACCTATAAACAGAATATTTAAGATGCAAAGAAGAATTTATATTTTTTTTTAAATAATGGGCAGAGTTGCATTTTGTGAAAAGCTTCACTCTGCCCCTGCCAGTATATACCACTTCAAGTTTTAAGAAAGTTTATAGCAATGACAAATCTTTTCAAGAAAAGAAAGCTGGGAAACTTATGATTACCATGAGGTGGCATGGGAGGTCTCATTCCTTGTTGCTGTGGAGGAATTCCTGGCTGTGGTGGCATCATACCTCCAATTGGTCCAACTGGTGGATTACCCAAGGAAGCTTGTCCTGGTCGAGGAAGATTACGCTGATATTTAGGCAACTGTGCCCTTCTCTCTTCCTAAAACCAGGAATGGACAACCATAACACATTATAAGGCTAAAACTAACCAAAAGCAAAGTAAATAAAAGTGTTACAGAGTAGACTACAGGTACTAAACTATTTCAACTATCTTACAAGTTCAAAGACTGCTACTAGTAACATTACACAGTAGCACTTACATTTTTCCCCCTTCCTTCAAACTTACTGTATTAATTTTAATACTAGCTGATCTAGCACTTCACAATCCACATAATTCTCCTCCTACTCCAGCTGAAGAAAGCCTTTTCCTCATAACAAGTTAAGATAAAGCCAAACACAAATCTAAAGATATCTGAACTGAAATTAAGGTTCATCTGTTTTATCCATAAATTCCCTATTTCTGACTGCTGTAGTAACACCAAGACCACTTCAAACTGTTTTTTGCCTTTTCAGTTTTTCGTCCTATGCTCATTAGCACTGTCTATTTAACTTCAAGCTTTAGCCACATGCATTTTGGGTTGAGTAATCTCCTATCATCAACAAAAAATAAGGCTCAGATCTACAGCAGTATCACTGCAATATTCCAGTCATCACTTCGCAACCAAAATTTTCTTGATGTATGCTTGTTACATTAATTCGGCACAGTTTGCATCCTCACAGTTATTAGAATACACATAATGTAGAACAAATTATATTTAATCAGCCATATCAGCACAAATTTGCATTTTTCAGTAAGACAATGAAAATATTTTAACTTACCAGTGATATATCCTCATCTGGATGGATCAACTTACTGGTTGCACTGGTTGTTGTGAGGGTAGCAGGCTTACTTGTTATAGATGTAGCTGGTTTAGCTGCAGTACTGTTTGTCGTGCTAGTGGTTGAGGCTGTAGACTGTGTGTAAGCAGGGAATGTAGGTTTTGGGGGTTCTGTTGTTGTTGCAGGTGTAGAATTCAAAGGTTTGAAATCAGTACCAACTGGACCTGGAACAGCTGCTGCAGCCTGTGAAACAGAGGTACGTCAATATTTATCTCTCAAAGCGTAAAAAAAAAAAAATTAAATTATGTCAGTTAGATCTCTGATACCTTCCAGTGAGATACATAATTAAAACAAGCTTGACAAAAGTAAAGTTCAGCCTTATCGCATACTAGAGCAACTGAAAACAACACAAAATAAAACCCAGTATATACACATAGATAAACACACACACACGCACTGGAAAGTCTAAAATTTGCAGGTCAAAAGCCACAACTAGAAAAAAGGAACAACAACAAAAAAAAACACTATCAAAATTTTTATCTCTAATACTGAGTTTGGTAAATGTCTAAATCTTTCCTGAATCACTGTTTTATTAAGAGCCTGTAAGTATAAATTCATTGTTCTCTCACTAAATTATTAGCATACTTTAGCAACCATTAGTTTAGAGTACAGCTCAAAGTGTTAGTATTCATTAAAACTAGGTATTTAAGAAATGTTTCAATTAAATATTTAAGAAAGCTCTATTGTGTCAAGGTTTTTGTTTCAAGCATCCTCTCCATAAAAACACCGCAATATTTTCACCAAGTACTGTGTCTCTCTATAGATCTTTGATCTCACTTGTCAATGAACAATAAACTGAAGGCAGATATGAGGCCCACTACAGATTCCAGCATCAACTCTTTCCTACTTTTTTCTTAAATTAAAACTGTTAGACAAGAGAAGTTTGCTTTACCAGGCTTTCTCTGAAGATGCAGCAATCTCCAAAGCAAGCTTTAGTTATGAGAGAATGCTTGTTGTTTCTAGTCACTGTGCATTTAAACTTTCCAATCAAAACAAAATATTTCAATCTTTTGCACATAATGCAAATTACAAAATTCCCTACATTATGATGTACCATATTAAAAAAACATAAACTGAAAAGCCTTCACCATGCATCAAGCTAACCACTGCCCACTAAAATGCATTTAACTGCTTTCATGCTTTTTTAACCCTTTAGAACCAGGATGTAACATTTCATTCTTTCACGCTAAGAAAAACTGGGCACTTTTACATGCTTATTTCTAAGAAGATGCAACTCACAATCAGACTCCGCGGTTTTACCAGCTAAACATAATCAGGAATATAACAAATTATCTGAAGATGTTTAGTCAATTTTAGTTTTTATGGGACGGTCCAAAGGGTTAAGTTGCAAAGCAATTTGTTTTTAACTGTGACTTCCTGCGTACTTGTGCTGTGCTAGGAAACAGAGCGTTAGAAGATGCTGACAGACTTTCTGAATTGGAGGAAGCTGTACTTGAGCTTGTGACAGGTGTCCCCATCTGTAGCATAAAAGAAAGGAAACAGTGAAAAGTCTCCAAACAAATGGGTGGAAAGTAGCCAGATGAAAGGATTTCTTATGCTAAGTTCTTTCTTATGAAAGGACTGTGTTTTTGCAAAAACGTATCTTCCCTGCAGAAGGCCAAAACCAAACAGTACACTATGAGGGTTTCTGCAACATACTTGCAAGTAAAAACTTCAGGACTTACACACAACAAGTGCAATGAAAGGGTAGAGGTCACAAGCCACTATCAATTCCCCACTTCCCTCCCCAGAAAAATTAAAGAAATTTTTACTACCCTAACTTACTCCTAAACTTTTAGAAGTAAAAATCCTCCTAATTCAGGCAACGTTTAACCAGTTTAACAAGACAACAGAATAAATTAGTCCGTCTACTGGTAGAGAGCCCATTATGAAAAGGAGAGAACAAGTCACGTCAAGATTTCTTTCAAAATTTTATGTAAAGTTCTATGCAATCGGATTCCTGTAGCTAACACATTCCTTTACCCATCCAAAGCACCCTTATGAAGGTCACACTAAAGGGATTAAGGAGTATTTTGCCTACTTCTTTCTTCCCCACATGCTTACAGAACTTCTGCCTGGTTTTATGGCTGTTACAAAACAAACAAAAGAATCTTTTAAAATTCATTCAAGCACCACTGAACTGAATTACTTAAGAATCAACACAAGCAAGAAACTTAACCAGTCATTTCTTGGGCCTCCTCAATCATAAAGGACACTGTTGATACAGTGGCAATTTGAAGAAAATAACAACAGATTCCAGGCTATGAGACACCTTACCTGTCCCGCACTTGGGAAGAGTGGTTTAGTAACCGGAGGCTGGGGGGTAGGTGCCGATGCAGCGGGAGCTGGAGGTCTGTTAAGAATGCCCGGTGCTGTAACAGGCTGGGCTTGTGTCATGGGAGGCATCCCAGGACGAGGACCAACAGGCGGTGGCATACCTACAAACCGCAAAGAACCAGTAACAAACCAGGCTGAAGGAAGCAACAACACTCCTCTAGAGGATTCTGCTCAGTGTTCCTTAGAACAACGTCTCCCCCAAGGAAGATGTATTTTTAAGGCAATCTTAAATATATGACAAAAGGTAATGCCAGCAGACACCAATAAGGGTCCATGCATAGGCAGTAACCTCAAACACTTCAGAGCAACACAGAATTCAACTGTGTTTTCTGCTAGAGCTTCAATGATTAAGAAGCTTATGCTCTCAATAAATCAACACAATTAATGCAGTAACTGTCTCCAACACACTGTGCCTGTGCTGCCAAGTGCATGAATAAGACTGTTACAAAATCCCAAAGATGCAGCCATTATGAACAGTATCGGAACTTGACAGAAACACAAACCAGCTTTGCTGTGTGTCTTCAGCACAGTGACACGGTGACACAAAGTTACTATCTGTAGCCTGTCATCACAATACACACACTTGGTATGTGCGGGGCTTTAGGAGAGGTTCAGAGACAAGAAGTGAACAGCTCACATGAGTTCCACCATATTACCATGCAGTGTAACTAGACTGTAACTGTCCTAGTGGCTTGCCTCCTCCTCCAGTGAGAAATACGGGCAAACCAGCAAATCTCAAGCCATCACAGCATAGCTGCTGGTGAGGCAGAACACCCTGAGAACTTGAGGCTGCTTAAGAGCTGCACAAGCTCAAGAAACATCTCTTCTAACTATGGTAAGAGACCAAAACTCTGGTTAATTTCTTCACAGAGCAGGTTCATTACTTGGGTAAATTACCAACATTCTTTCTCTTTTCCCACATTTTCAATCATTATGATTTTCCAGCTGCAGACAAACATTAAAAAAGGGATGAAGAGAGACTAGGGAACACAACAGTCAGAGAAAGTGCAATAACAAAACTATATTTTTCACCTTCACAATGGTACTAAACACAAATAGTTATTTATAATCAAAAGCCACAAATCAACCCTTTCACCTGTGCGTAAGAGTGGCTTCTGTGGCAATGAACTCACACCAAGGGGGTGGCATAAGTCTGTATATTCTTTTTATAAATACTAAATCTCAGTGGAAATAAATAAATGTAATTTAGCTCTCATCATAGTATAATATGAGTCTGACAACCCTGACCTACCTGGTGGCATACCAGGCATAAGAGGTGGTATTCCTGGCCCAGGAGGCATCATTCCACCCATCGGCATCATCCTATTAAACAGAAAATGAGCACTGGTGTGAACACTCATGATAAACTCTTAAGACAATTTGCACATACCTGTGTTAGATAAAAAAATTATGGTAAATAAGTTCAAGAAACTCTCCACAGAGGCAACTCAAAACCAGCTAACTTCACAGCTAGAAATGTTTTTCCACAAGAAAAACAAAACAAAACAAACCACCAAGAAAACCCCCAAGCACTTTACTTGAACTTTAATTCCTCAAGCTTTCAATTCCACTATTATCAGTTTTCCAGATCAGGTGTCTCTCTTGAAATCTATTTCAGGCTACTAGTTTGAGCAGAGTGTTCCAAGAACCTGATCTTAGTACACTTGGAAAATCTGAAAGTAGGAAAAACAGCTAACTCCAGGCATACTAAAATCACTGTACATCTGCTATTACTCCTTTCTGACACCACAAGTCTGTTTGTGCTTATAGCATCCTCATACTATCTTAACATATTCTCCTTCCTCTAGTGAATTGCAGACAACTCAAATCTGTAAAAATGTCCACAAAATATTGATAAAAGCAGAGCCGAGGCCACATGATAAGAAAGCTTCTGGAGTTTCAATAATTACTCCCTACGTTAAGGACAGAAAATGGAGATTTTATTTTTTTTTTTTTTAAAAAGAAGAGTCTTTACTATGGCCTGATTTTTCTTCATATTAAAAACAGGTAGGTTTGTGGGTTTTTTTTCCTTGCTATTGATAACCTGGAGAAGAAATGACATGATTTTTAAATTCAGTCTGTTAAAACAACATTTATGCCTCAGAAGAGAACAACCTTTCACCTCGGTGAACTTTAAAACTCAGAAGCCAAGTTCCTGCAGTATGTCCTACAGTGTAACAGATCAAGCACACAGAGCTGTACTCTGGTTCAAGAGAGCCTGTAAGTCCCTAAGGGTCTATTTGATTAGTATGTTGTAGAACGCATTTCTCATAACATATAGTTCAGTAATATTCATTTAGATAAAGCATAAAAACTTCAGCTGTTATACAATAACAAAACCTAAATACACATTTTCCCCAAATTCTTACACAATATTCAGTAAGACAATTTCAAGTTTATCAAAAACATGACATAAAATGGCATAATGAATGTACCTAGAATTACATTAATGAGATGCTTACATGTTTCCACCACAAAATGACTGCATGTATTTTCTCTGTTGATGTAATCTGTGAAAATTTATGACAAAATCAAAAATCTAACTGTGATTTTCCAAACACATTGTGACAGGGTACGGTGTCAACCCCAAATAAGCATAAAAACCAACATCTTACTTTTGCCCAAAATGTAAGAAAAATTTAAACTATCCAGTATTTTTTTCCTGTTAGGCTGATGACCAATAACCAAATGCACAACATAAGTGCAACACACAAAGCAATAGTGGTTCACAGAAGGCTCTAAACCAACACAACAAAACTTTAAATTATTGTACTACTACTCAATAAAGTTAGGAGAGAGACAACATACTTATATATAAACTCACAGTTTGGCCATATTTCTAATGTTGGTTTACAGCCATCCAGTTCTTTGGCTATCTTAGTACTAAGGTTACAGAGTTCACAGGTTCCTACGTACATTTTCCGAATTAGCTTTACTTTCTCTGTGACAGTTTAAAATGCACAGTACGAACATGAAACATTAAGTCTTCCTTGCTACTCACCCAGGTGGCATTCCAGGCATAACTGGAGGCATTCCAGGCATCATAGGTGGAACACCTGCCATTAATGGTGGTATACCTTAAAAGAAAAATAAATTTTAAATCCAACAATATACGGTCACTAACAAACCTCATCTAATAAATTTAGACTGGATAAATGCCTCACAGGAAGCTCCAAAATAATTGTTTTTTGGAATAACACTGCTTACAAACAACGTAATATAAAAGATTATCTGCAAATCTGACTTAGATTCATTGTGAGAACAACATCCTGCAAGACTGTGTAAATTTTCTTAGTAGTCTCCAAAGAATATGCCTTATCACTGCAGCAAATGTAATGGAGAGATCAGTTTTCACTCACTGTCATTGATCAAAATAATTTCCTCAACGTATTTGTGGCATGTGTATCAACTTCCTGTTCTATGTTAGCAGTCTCTAGATAAACGGTAGCCTTTCTCTCCTGTTTCCAAATTCTTGTTACAAAACACCACAAACAATCCACCACAGTCTGTCATGGGTAGACTTATGTTTAAGGTACTAATCTGTCCTACTACGATAGTAACACTCCTTCAATCTAGACACATTACGTATCTTAATCCACTTCACAAAGGAAGATGTGTGTGCACTCACAGAATGGGAGGAAAAAAAAAAAAAAAGAGGTGAAACTGCTTATGTGCAGCCCACGAAACTATTTTGTGACCTCTAACATCCAGTGTGAGAAAGGGCAGATTATTATTCCAGCATACAAGCAGCGATTTGTATTTCTACCCAGCTTTTCAGTAACTCAAAACATCATCCTACCTGGAGGCATCCCTGGTGCACCTGGCACAGGAGGCAAACCTGGCTGCGCCATCGGGGGAATGTACCCCTGCTGTGGCTGAACTTGCTGGGGTTGAAATGAAGTCGAAGCCGCAGATTCATCATCTTCGTACTCATCAGAATCATCCTGTTGTTTCTTTTTCTGGCTCTCTGCTGAAAAGTACAATGCATATGGGTCAGATTGAAGGCAAATTATATTCTATGAAATTCATTTTATCTGAGGTATTCTAGCTGGAATGAAAATAAATTCAAATCTTTGATCAGTGTGTTCAAAAATTCACAGAATTACAAAGAAGAAAAACTCTATGAATCTATCTATACATACAAATAATAATGGAATGTGACTCATGCTGTAATGACCCTCAACATGAATGGGGGTCTTCCTTCATGTCAGTCTCACGCCGTCCGTAATAAGCCAAAGCAGTTCAAACAAAGGTATATTTAAACAGCAAAGAAATCCAAGTATTTGGGCATCAACAGGCTTGTATCACACCTTGCCTTTCCTCTCCTTACCCTCAAAGATCAGATCACAATCCCCATATTCATTAGGTAATTGTAGCTGCGCTGGCATGCAGCTATTTCTAAACTGGAAAAGAAAAACGTCTCTCATCCTTCTACATGACTGGCAAACGTCTAAAGCTGCAGCTAGAGAACACGTTAAACCCAACCCTTACTGTTCTGAGAAGCAAGACCTGTACCACACAGCTTAGTATCAGGAAGAAACAGACAGGGAAAGAACAGATAACTAGCGAGATTACACTTTACCCTGAGTTTTTTGTTCAAGTAACCTCCTCCGTTCCTCCATATCTTTTTCTGGAATGCCCTCCATGCCATAGATTTCCAGTTCAATGTCTGTTCTTCCAGGAATAGCATTTGGAACAGCATCTATTGTCTCTTTATGTACCTAAAGAGAAGAAAAAAAAAAAAAAAAAAAATCCTCCTGACCACAATTCAGGTTAGATTCTACGTGATCTTTAGCCAGTTTCAAGATACAACAGGAACATCCTTAATGGGAAGAATCTCTCTGACCAGGCATTTTCTTGGTATGTGCTTCCTAATCACTGTTAACTACTATTAGCTTCTAAAACCAGTTTATATAAACTTGTCTTCTGAACACCAAGACAATACAATCCCTTCACTTCTACTACATCTCAAAAACAGCAGCAGAGATCTCTACTGCGTACTCTCCGTAAGACTACTGACACAGCAAGACTCCTGTTCTGGAAGCAGACCATTGCTGTCTTTTTCCCATCAGTTTTTAAGATTCTGGCTGCCCACAAACCCCACCTTTTTAAGTTTACTGTTAATTCCAATTTTAGATACTGATGAGAAAATCTTATGGAAGTCTGAAACTTCTTACCTGCATACAATGTATAGCTAAACCAGGTCCTGTATACAGCTTCTTATGACATATATGGCATTTAAAGTGCTTTGCTTTTTGATGCTGTATAAGGATTTTTTCATCATCAAAATCCCTGTTGCAATACCTATTGAAGACTGTTAAGGAAATATTTATTCCTGAAAGTGACCTAACATGACGTAATTAGCATTATTGCAATTTTTCCTGAAGCAAAAAAAAAAAAGCACAGTTATCTCTGAGCATAACAAATATTTCACTGATGTCTGAAACCAAACCTCCCCTTCATACCATCCAGCACTTCCCTCTGCAGATAGGTACAAAACTCGCAGGGTGTGTGCACGCAATGAGAATCATTTGATTCCATATTCTTTGACATACGTTTTTCAAGATCTAGTTATTTCTAAGTCGACTCATTCTTTGTCTGCACATATGTAGACTGAAATAAACTTGCAAAAGCATTAAAGGAGAAATAGACTTGAAATCCACAAAACGGAAGTGATTCTAAATACTTAGAAGTGCCTACTTAATAAAAAGTATCAGTACCTAACATTCATAAAAAAAGAACAAAGGTTTTAGTTAAAAACTCCTTTTTCAGTCATCCAGCTACCACTTCTTATATATTGTATAATTCGCTGCAGTCATTAAAGACTTCTCTGTCTTTAAACAGAAACATTTTAAGCTAAGAATTTTCTGGACATCTGTGACAGAAGAGGCAGTTAACACTCCAAACGTATCTTCCTAAAGGACGTCTGTTATTAGTTGTTCCTTGTCAACGCAATGTGTCCCTCACTTCCATCAAAACTTGAAATAAATTAATACCCAAAACAGAAGAACAGATGCCTTCCAACATAAAAAGGTAAAATATCTCAGAGCAGCTTATAAATTCCTCTATTAAATAATTTTAGATTGGGCAGAAATCTTTTAGAGGAATAGTAAATCCGCAATCACCTCCCAACAAAAAACAGATTGCGAAAGAGCGATTGAAGAAAAATCCACTGGTATTTCTGGATACTGAGAAATTGCACGTGACTTTGATGCAGCAATTAAAAATCCGAAAGCCCCACCATCACCAAAAAAAACAAACAAACAAAAAAACACAACAGTTTTCAAAAGGTCTCTTTCTACCACATTCGCCCTACTTTTTCTTGAATAGCTGTATTTACCAGGGGCAGAGTTTTGTTCCCTTGACATCCTCCCTCCTGGGGGATAAAGACTGTTTTCCATTTTGCCCACAGTCTCGGCAATCCCG